GTGAGCTGAGGCATCTGACCCCGTACTGTGCAAGCAGCCAGCACAGGCAGCCCACTTCTCTCCTCGTACAGTCCATTCAGTCCCTCGTCCTCCTACTCTCGCTCTGCTCTGACAGTAAGGCGTCTTTGTCGGTCGCAGTGAATGCACGCTGAATGATTCACGCTAGCTTCCTCGCTAATCAGCTAATCAGATTACACTGACGGGGACCTAATAGGAACTATGACTCAAAATCCACGCTAATGCAGGAAAATCGCAAAGCAGCTAGTTCTCCTGTTGATCTCTCCTGACCTGATAAAGTCAGAGAGGAAGGGCAGGTGATCGCTGGGCTAAGCGGGCCATGCTTGGCTGGATTGGGTGGAGGCTGAGACACCTTGTATGACCCTCTCTGTCTTTGGAGCTGCGAAGATTAGGCTGGTTTTACTTACGCACAACCCCAGCAAAGCAGCATCCACAGTCCACAAACTATTAACCCTAAGAGGATGCAGTTAATGTGATGTTATTTCTCAGTTGTATCTCTGTGGATTCAACACTTTCAATCAACATTTTTCGTGTTTGTAAGTGGATGAAGAGAAATTCAGGGCACCCCCCGGTCAATGACATGCTTTGGTGATTTTCTGGGTGAAAGCATGTTAACACATCCTCTACAGCCCATGTGTCAAACACAAGGTCCGCGGGCAAGAACAGGCCCGTGACACAACCCAATCCGGCCCACAAAAGTATTTTAATCTTTTATTAATATTAGGCTGTTTCACAATGCGTTGAACTACAGTCCCCAGCATGAACTGCAACGTAATGTGCTCTGACTCGTTTACCCCAACAACAATCTATGGGACAGTGGTTACACCTCAATTCCACACAATTCTGTGCGATTCCACACCAGTCATATCACCAAAGTGCATTTCAGCTGCAGTTCAGCCAATATAAACAGTTAACGTCAGCTCAGCAGCTCAGAAATTGAGCCTAAGTCTTAATGAACTTGCAGCAAAGAATGGATGCCAGAGGTCTAGTACAAGCAAACAGACAAATTTAAAAGACTGAGCTCCTGGGGACATTTAAATTTGGAATATTTAAAGTATTCATGTAAAATTTAAAGGTCCACTAGCAGCGCCAATATTTTACTGCTGAATTTATTGCGTATTGTCAATAAACGATGGCCAGTTGAGTTTGAAACACTACAGTAATTAAAAATGAAATAACATTTGTTTCTCTGGTTCACAGATTTGTTGAGATTTTTTAATATGGTCCTTTTAGAGGTTGAGTTCGACATCCCTGCTCTACAGAGAACAAACTTAAACATGGAATTTTTCCGTAAATGTTGAAATGTTCTATTTACAGTTCAACATAGACAAAAATATCAAACATAAAATGTGCCATAACTTTTGCACAGGCTACATGTTTTTTACCCTCATTACATTAAATTTAGCAATTAAACAGCATTAAATCTGTGCATTAAAATGTACAGAAATGTGTTCTCTGTAGAGGACGTGTTATTTTTACTAAGAAAATCAGCATAATGTCATGTGACCAGTGGTGCTCAAACTTCAGCATACAACAGTATCTGATATACACACTCATTAGCTGGAACATGCAGTCACGGTTGCTCTCACTGGATCACAATAACGAAAGCTGGAAACTGTCCACGCTATGGAAATTGTAATTTTCATATTCAGATGAAAAGTGTTAAAGTAATAAACACATTCTGATGAAGCTTCTTGTCCACTCATATAGCTAACAACATGCACTGCTTTTTAAAAGGAATAAAATCTCTTTTCAGGGTAAATTTGAGAAAATTTGACAAAAGTTCCAAATGTTGACAAGACTGTCTCACAGCGCTGGTAATAATACATTTAAATAGTACCGAAAGATGAGGAGGAAGCAATAATTTTAGATTACATAGAGTTACAGAGGAGAACACTATGACTTAACCTTCCACCCACACTAGAGCAGCTCTTACTGCTCCATCATGTAAACACGCTAAAAACAAGGTTTTTTTTTCAAAACTTCATGAACATTATGTCTAGCAATACTGATACAGACACAATCACAAGGTTATAACTGTGTAAACTGCGTGACGTACTCTTCCATTTAGAGGGAAATTCCACTGTTTTTTCAAAATTTGCATTCATAATTCACTCATTCACATGAGAACCAAGTCTTACAGAGGGATTTGATGTAAAATGCTCCATTCAAGAGAAACTCAGAGTCAGAACTGTTCACAGTGGTGTTTATGGGAACCAGATGCCCAAAGAGTTTAAATACCTACTGACAGAAAGTCTTTACAAGAAAAGACTATGAATATACTGCCTGATGTCTGTTTTACGATAGTTTTGAGGAGAGTTTGTACTAAAAGATGTTTTTAAAAACCTGTATTCTTCAGATTTGTCACTATTCTTTATTATCAACCACAGAAAACCTCAGAAGACACCTGCAGGTTCACTGGTGGTTTTGGATGTTAACTAAAAGGGCTAAATTTAAGTTTCTGTGCACTGAACCATTTCACATCAAACCTCTCTGAGAGAATTCGTTTACATCTCTGCAAAAATTTTGAAAAAATGGTGGAATTCCCCTTTCAAGCTCATCAATAGTGAGACTGAATGTGGAAGAGTACACACACACACACACACACACACACACACACACAAAGTAAGCCAAACTTCCTGAAGTGGTACAGTCTGAGCTGAAGCTGGATTGTGGGGGTTAATCACATTACAGACAGGAGGAGAGCAGGGAGTGTGTGTGTGTGTGTCAGTGTGTGTGTGTGTAGGATACAAAAAGAGGGAACCGTGTGAGCACAACATTTCTATGAGGTTGTCAGGGTTAATCACATTAGATCTGGGTGGAGAGAGTCAGTGAGGATTACTGAGAGAGAGAGAGAGAGAGAGAGAGAGAAAGAGAGAGAGAGAGAGACAGATCTCAGCGCAAGACGTGATCTTGAATGTCTGGAAACCACCTTGAGAAATTGTGGGATAATGTGGGTGGGAAGATAGACTTAACGGAGTGTGAACAAACAGAGAAAAAATTCGAAACCAGTAAAATGTCTCGTGAAGGTGGAGCTCAACGTAGGGGACGATGGTGAGCTTGTCACCGTTGTCCGTCGTTAACCCATGGATGTGATGTAAGTTAGGTAAAAAAGTCCCCCCAAAAACTCCAGTTAAGCATGTAGGTGTGAGTCATGTGTGGAGAGATCACTACATGTGGTAAAAATAAGCACTAGCTCAAACAGTTCCATTAGCTAATAACAGCGTTTTTAGTAAACCAGCTCACTTCGCTGGTGTTAGCCATTGTACTCTCAATGTTAAAAGTACTCGGCTTCTGAATGGGGCAACCGTCTAAGCGTTGGCCCTATCATCAGGAGATCGCGACTCCGATCCCTGGTGATGCTACAGCCATCCGTGGCCAAGAGTCCAAGAGAGCACCATTGGCCTCGCTCTCTCTGGGTGGGTAGGACGGCCCCCACTCCCCCCCCCCCATCAACCAGCGCGATGCTAGTCAGCGCAGACGTCTGTTAGCTGACAGTGGTGCTTTACAGGTCTCTGAGGAAGCCTGTGTTAGCCTTCGCCCTCCTAGTGCTGGTGGTATCGTGTGACTGGGGGAGTCCTAACTAGTACGACTAAATTGAAGCGAAAATTTGGGGGGGGAGTGCATGGACTACAGGAGCTGGGGGGCAGGTTTTAGAGGGGGGTCTTTTTAACATAATCGGCCAACAATCATAAGCAGTCAGGGCCTCAACCACCGAACGCCTTAGTGAGTCATCACAGACGTTCTGATAATTCTACACACAGCATGAACACTCTGTAAAAGAGTGTCACTAAATATAAGTTAATGTTGTTGATTTATAGTCTCGCACAGTGTAATATGCAGGGGATCTTATGTGAGAGAGAATTAAATTAAAACAAGAAGCTGATGAGGTTATTAGATATAGTTCAATAATAAGTAGTATGTAAGAATTTGATCAAATTCATTCGCATTTAAAGACCTTTCTGTAACAAACTAGGTGATGTAGGTCTGTAATAATGTGAACGAAGCTTTTTAATTTAGTCTGTGAAATGACTGCAAAAAATAGATCTGTAATAGAAACATCTGTGATGGTAGTTACACTACAACAACCTTTGTCCATAGGTGATATATGATACATTGGTGCAGATGTTTTTTGCTAATAAAAGGAAACATGTATTATTATTATTGGACTGATTCTGGATATACAGACGATAATTATAAATGACAAACTGTGTTCCATTAAGTAAAAGGTTTCATTTAATAGGTGTCATAACAGAAACTTACTGAGAGGTGTTCACAGTGGTGGTGATAGGAACCAGATGTCCGAAGAGTTTAATGCCTCTAGAAGCTCCCTCACAGAAAGTTATTGCATGAAACTATTAAGAATACGCTGCCTGATATCAGAAACATTGTTTTACACTAATTTTGAGATGATGTTTTGGCCATTTTTTTTAAATTCATTCATGGTGGAGAGGTACACGCAGGCCGTTGCAAGACAAAATAGTACTCAAAAAAACTTTTGCATTGAAAATAAAGTGGTTATATTTGTGTTGTAGACATCGTGACCCCTGGTTCCTATCACCCCTTCTTTCCTATCTGTAAAGAAATCAGACTCAGTGAGTTTCTCTACAATAAAAAATTTCACATCAAACCATTTTGAACTTCAACGACTAAGATATGGAGAAATTTTGAAAAATCAGTCGAATTCCCCTTCAATTATAGCAGTGCATTCCTGACTTTCCTTCTGGTGTATTTCATTTAAACAACTGGACCTGAAAAAGGAATGGAGGGACAGACATAGGGAAACGTGGCCTGTACAGTGACCACTGGGCTACTTTTGTGTGTTCATGTGCTTTGCTTCAACTCTCTCTCTCTTACTCACAATAAATGGGTGCACACAACATGCGCCCCCAGCCTCAGTCCCACTCACCTGCTCTCCGCTGAGAGTCTCGAGGCTGAGCTGGAAATAGCTGATCTATGGTCTCTGTGTCTGTGTGTCTCACCTGTGCTCGAATAAGCGCCTCGAAGCTGGGCTGAAAGTAGTCGATGCGGCTGTTGTAGAATTTGGGCATCTCTTCCAATAGCTGCTTATTCTTGGCTTCAAAATCCTCCCTGACTGGCCTCAACTCCTCACGAGCCTAAAACAGATACAACCAACACACACACACACACACACACACACAGTTTTTAGCTACTACAACAAGACTCGCAGGTTTTCATAGCATTCCTGAGAGGTTTGTCATTAGAATAACATTAAGGAACTAAATACCATTACACTGAATAGGATGTGGAGGCGGTGAAGACGAGAGATACGTGTGATGCAATCAGAGAGGGAGAGAGGGAGAGAGAGAAAGAGAGAGAAAGATAGGAATAAAAGAAAGAATAAGAGAGAGAGAGGAGACAGAACAAAGGAGAAAGAATGAGGAAAAAAACGAGAAAGAATGAGAGAAAAAGGAGAAAGAATGGGAGAAAAAGAAGTAGAAACAATGAGAAAAAGGAGAGAGAAGGAGAGAGAATGAGAGAAAAAGGAGAAAGAAAAAAGGAGAGAGAAGGAGAGAGAAGAGAAAGAGCAAAAGAGAAAGAAAGAAGAAAGAAAGGTAAACGGGACAAAAAGAGAGACAAGAAAGGAAGAGATGAGGAGAAAGAGAGAGAGAGAATATAAAGAAAAGAAAGAGTGAGCGAAAGAGAAAGCGAGAAAGAGAGCACAGAGAAAGAAAACAGGACAGAGAGAAAAGGAAAGCAAGAGAGAGAAAGAGTGCGAATATAAGGGTGAGAAAGAAGACGGAAGAGAAGGAGAAAGGGAGAGGGAAAAAAGGTGAGAGCGAGGGAACAGGAGAAAACGTGAGCAAGCGAGTGAGAGAAACAGAAAGGAAAAGAGATGGAGAAAGAGGAGAGAAGAAGAATGAAGACACAAAAAATGAAAAAGCAAGCGAGAACACATAAGACAGTAAGAGAATGAAAGAGAATGTGAGAGTTTGAGAGAGAGAGAGAGAGAGAGAGAGAGAGAGAGAGAGAGAGAGAGAGAGAGAGAGAGAGAGAAAATGCATCTTAGAACGGTGACCTTTGGTAGAAGGTGACCTGTTCTGGGCACAGGGGAGAGAACATACGCAACATATGTGAAAAACACACACATATAAGTTTGCATTGCTATACTTTTGAGGACTACTGCACCACTGCAGCCAATACTACACCTACGACTACACCTAAACCTAACCACATCCTCATCAACCAAAACGCAATCTTGCTGCTCATTTAGTTTAGTTTAAAATGTCAAAATGTCCTCACTTCACGAATTTGTCATGATGTCCTAGCATTACGAGGACATTCAGTCCTCACTAAGTGCTGAAGACAAGTATCCGTATACACAAACACATATTACATACATATAGTACTTTATCTGCTGCTTGTTTAGCTCTACTCTCTGTGGCCCTGATGAAGCCCAGTCTCTCGGTGTGTGTGGGCGGTCAGCTCGTATATGTACGACTCTCGTGTGTGTGTGTGTGTGTTTCCGAGTGCTTTTCTGCGTGTGTGTGTGTGCTGACACACCTTTGTGTGTATGCATATACATTACAGTGACCTTGAAGCATCTGACTTGGAGAGCGAATGCTCATTCTCTCGTGTGGGGTCTTTGTGAGTTTGTATGTGTATATATGTACACATACACACACACACACACACAGCCCAATTATCTGGCAGCGTGTGCGGCGACGGAGCCTCTTGTAAAGTGCGGTAGCGGAGTTGAGAGGCTGCCTCTCTTGCGTGGGTGCGCGCGCTCACATGTGTACATGCGCTCCGTCTATTTCTGTAAAAGGCTCCAGTCAGCATCCCCTCAGCCTCTTTCGTTCAACTTGTTGCACGGCGCTCCGAAAAAACGCTGGCAGCGCATCAGAGCGCGGAGGGTCCGATCAATCTGCCGAAGCCTCCAGAGGCGGAGCGGGGCTGCCTGCAGTACGGGCAACATAGATACAGCCAGACCAGAATAACCTGCCCCTATGGACGAGTGCGGACCACCAGGGTTCGGAGCCTGTGTAGGAAATGTTTTTTATAAAACAAGCTAAGAGACGCGCCTCGCTGGAATCCTAACAGAGCTGTGTAATGTACGAATGACCCATTTATGCTCCGCCCACAAATGCATTGTACTGTAGCTGCTGCTGTAGAACTGTAGGACATGCTTTATTAGGTCTAGTTTCCCCCAGGCTTTGTACTATTGAGATCATCTTAACTGGTAGAGAGAGTGAGTGTTTAAAGTGATGCTGGCTCTACCATTTCACAATGATCTTTGCGCTTCTGGGATGCTCTTTGGAAACACATCCCAGAACATCAGCATGCGCACACACACACACACACACACACACACACACACACACACACACACACACACACACACACACACACACACACACACACTTTCTAAACTGCTTATCCTTCTGGGTCATGGGTGGTGCTGGAGTGTATTTCAGCAGTCTTTGGGCGGAAGGCAGGAAACACCCTGGACAGGTCGCCAGTCCATCACAGGGCAGTCACACAGACATACAATAAACATCAGCACTCAAAAAGACCTAAATTTTAACTCCAAATTCTATGAAAGGTCACATCATCAGTAAAGATCAGATGTAGATTTTTTTGTTGTATAACTGTGCTAATGTTAGCATGGTAGCACATTCATCATTGTGGTTTCTACCTTGTCTAGCTTCGATTAGCTACATCAAGCTCAGTCGTGCATTTCAAACTATTAACCAAATGTTATGTAGCGTCTTTAAACAAATATCGCCAGAACTTCTCAAAATGTTTAAAGAGATTTTAGCCAATGTTTCACAGAGCTGGTTCAACCTAGTAAATGTTGCTACAAAAGAACGCATTTGTAGACATGAACGTGTCAATTTCCACACAGCCTGCATCATTATGGACAAAATAACTGAATAATATATTCTATATGAACATGTGCTACTGCATGACAGAAAATGGCAGTTGTTTTAATCATCGTTGTCAAAAACTACTGAAATTTTTAAAAATCGATTCAAATCAAACTCTCCTGGTCACACAGCGAAACACAGTTTAATATGCTAGTCAATATCCTCTTTCTCACTCTCACGCTTGGTCTTTCTGTCTCTTTCTTCTTCTCTCTGCTCTCTCATTCTTCTTCCTTGCTCGCTCTACCAAAAAATATGTGGAAATCTTTATTTTTAAGACCTACTTCTTTTTACTTATATGGTAATTAAGATAACTGCAAACATCTCTTCCCTGGAACTACTGTCTATCAGAAGGAACTTCGCATAAAATAAATGTTCTTTTCCTGGGAAATGATAGACAGCATTACACACAAAATCTTTCACATTATAACCATCTGTTAAAACAACTATTCTGTATTATTGCATTATTATTTCTCATTATATTATAACCTTATTCCTTCACACTATGATGCTCTGAGTGACTTGTGGTCAGAACTTCCAGCGAAGGGTAAACAGACAATAACATCCTAACATGATAGAAATGTGGGAATAAATGCAAAGTCATTTCAACTTTCTGATTTTGTTCAAATGGCCATAAAACCATAAAGCAACAGCATTATAGAAATCTGTTAATTACTTAAGGTTTTTTAAACCAGCATTATGATAATATTACTCGTTTGTTTTTCATGGTATGTTAGCGCTAAGCTAGCAGGGTTAGTGCAGCACAATACTTGATTCTGAGGTCTGCTCTAGTTTAAATACATTTTAAGCTCATGACAGGCATTTTTACTTTTTCTTTACATTTTAAAGTCATTCCTTCTATAAAGCCTTGAACTAAAAAACCCAATCCCATTTCACCCCTTGTCCCCACCACTTAGCCCTACCCCTCCGTTTTGCATGTTCATGCCTAGGGGTAGTGTGTCCTGAGATAGAGGGGTAGGGCAAAGTGTTAGGGCTACATGAACTCCCAAACTGAGGTTTTTCAGAGACTCACTCCAAATGGAGTGTTATGAGAATAATGAAAAACTGGCAAGATGTCTGCGCAAGCGACCAAAGAAACCCACGAATATGAGAATTTTCTCTGTTAAAAATTACAATAACCATTGTATTATCTTAGTTTAATGTCATTTCAATGTAATTTGGTCCTTTTCCTCATAAAAAGCATAAAACATTGCTAGTAGTATGCTGGTGTCTCAGTAGCTAGCTAGCTAAATTTGCTATTCCACCTTAAACGGAACCAACGGGGCCATAGGCATCAGAACTGCTGCACCATTTAAGGTGGAACAAGAAAATCTGAACGAGAAGCTGGTGAATAGCTGACTTCAGCTTCATATTACTGAAGAATTACGGGTGGGCAATAATAAATAATTGTCTTATACGCCCTCTTTGAAGGCATATGATTCCCCAAATGTAACTAAAGCCCAGCAGTGAGGTTGCTGAACTTTAACCACCTCTGCTATCACTGCAGACTGGCAGGGTCGCCTATAGAGCACCGCTAATAGCCTGTTAATGAAGTAATGTTCTTTTTTATTTGAGGGTTGTCTCATTTCATAGGGGAAATTTCAACCACTACCCCTTGAACTCAATGCCAAGGGGCAAGGGGTAAACCTTGTTTCTTATTATAGGAGCTTTAGCCTGTTAGCTTTGTGAAAACCTGCTCAACCTACTCTAGTGAGGGCACAATATATCCAGTTACACATAATTTAATGTTAAACCAGTTAAAGAGAGTCTGTTAGCAGCAAACATTCATGTTCAACAGGCAGTTGTTCATCTGGCTGCATTTTATGGGCATGAATTAGTAATAACAACTTGGACTTTTTAAGCAGTTATCAAAAAACATCATTAATATGTAATTTAAAGTGCTGCACTGTCTTGGGCGATTCTTTCAGCTCCACTCGACTGTAATGAAACTGCGAAGTGCAAACCCAGAAACACCTCAGAGACATTTAATTGGGCATAAAATGATGACTTAAAAAGTAAGCAAACGGTCATTGCCTGAGCTAAAACAATTACAAACGACACTTCTGTTCCCCAACCAGAGAGTTTGGCTACAATGTTGAAATACAGTGGTCATGCGAAAAATAAGGTGGGTCCATTTGATTTGATGTGCAATAAGGCTAAATGCACTGAATGAGAGCAGCTGTATCCATATATAGCTATATCCATGAATTTGATAAGACCCAAAAAGAACGTAGTATTTAATTCTAGGGTCCAATTGGATTTGGTCTTATTCTATACCAGCTCTTAACGTCGACGTGCCGGTTTCCCAGACATCTATTAAGCCTAATCCTGGCCTAATTTTCAGTCTAAATGGAGAATTACAATTTCTATTTAGTCTACGCTTAGGCTTAATCTGGTTTGGAGAAATTGGCCCAAAGTGTCTGTAAGCTAACTATTTTAGTCCAGTCCAGGGTATATTTACCCACACCCTAAGTACCGAGTGATATAACCTGCAATTGACTTTAATATCGTTATTGGTTTCGGTCATATCACGGCGGTGGAGCCAGTGGACCGTACCTGATGGAGCTTCACCATGATGGGTCCCGTCTTCTCCTTCTCTTCGTATTTCTCCACTTTAGCTTGCAGTCTTTTATAATCCTGCAGAGCCTGCTCCCTCCGCTTCACCGCCATGTTTAGACTGGGGAACACACTGCTGTACCTGAAACACACACACATACAGTTCTATTGAAATACAATGTATGAAGACCATCACAACCATTAAGAGTCTATAGTACATACATGATACAGGTTCCAATCCATATTCTGATAAAATGATAGATTCCAGTATTTCAAACAGTGCTTTACTGAGTGATATTCTTATCAGTTAATGTGAATTGTTCAAACTGCCAAGCAAACAGACACAATTTCACAGACTTTTCAAAAATTCACAGTGCTGATAGGATCTAGATGTCTGAAGACAGCTTTTAATGCCACTTTAAGTTCTCTCACTATAATGTATTATATGAAATGTTTATGATTACACTGCCTGATACTTGAGGCATTGTTCTATAATAGTTTTGGGATAGAATTTTGGCCTTAAATGTATTTTTAAAATACATACAGTGAATGTAACATTCTCAACATCATCTTTAGAACTGCATTGTAGACATCACAACCCCTCGTTCCTATCAACACCACTGTAAAGAGTCTTTAAGGTTCTATATAAGTTAGCATTTCACATTAAATCACTCTGAATGAAATAATGCAGAGAGTCCCCATTAATATCTCATTTTATCAGCCAAATGATATATCGCTCCGGCCTGTATACACTCACAAAATATGAGAACCCTAGCGTGTCGTGACAGCTGTGTCTACATCACTCAGTTCACAACAATAACTAAAACCTTCAGCAACTTCATTATTGATTTTCATCTAGTCCTATACAGTTAAGCGCATATTCTTAGAAAATTTCGGCAAGCTTTGCGGCGATGTCACAGATCAATACTAAACATTAGCCGTTCATAGGTGAAGCCAGCGCTTTGACCTGGTCTGTGTTAAATACACCGCTGGCCATATTTCAACATTACCACCTAATTAAAACCACACAAACAGCAAATGAAAATGTAATCTTTGGGTGAAAATCCTGCTCTCAGGAAACTAAAAATAGGAGAAAAAAAAAACTCTCAGCTGTAACTTAGCAACAGGAGCGGGTGGTTTGGTTCGAGGCCTGCCTGCGCTCCGGCTCAGCACTGCCAAGAAGCGCTGGGGAACGCAACGCAAACACGTGAGAATCATTCTGTCCAAAAAAACAAAGCAACAACAACTACAAAAAAGAAAACAATCTTTCTATTATTTGCTATGGTTGAGATATGAAAGCAGGCATGTGATGGGGGTGGGAAAACTGAAGGGAAATGGTAAGAATATGGACGTGTTGGGTCAACATGCTGTCAAAATGACTTTCAGATGTGTGAGATAGTTTGCTGAGGCAAATTCATGCAGGGCCTCATCGCTCTCTCTCATGTCTATTACTGCTGAATGAAAAAGTCTAGCACTGTGGTACATTTCACAAAGTTAAAGAACAATGAGCAGCTCCAGCTCCTAACACTCAAAGGTGCGCCATCAAAAACAACTGCATCCAATCATATCAGAGAATATCTTCAGAATTATCTCTTCAGAATTAATCTCTCTGAACGCTGTCTGAAAACATGATTAGCAGCACCACTTATCAATAAGCACAATAAATCAATAAACAGATTAGTTACCAAAATCTTTAACTATGCCTTTAATGAAAACTTAAGTTGCTGACAGATGGGCAACCATGCGCCAAAAGAAAAGTAGCCATTTGTTGCTGGCACACGCAACTCCACGCAACTCCACGCAACTCCACGCAACTCCACGCAACTCCACGCAACTCCACGCAACTCCACGCAACTCGCAATTTTTATGTTTTTAACACCACTTGAAAGCACCAGCTGCCCTTTACAATTAAGATTTAACGACAAATGGACCATAAGTATACGAAACTTTATTACAAAACCTCAGAGTTGGAAAGCAAAGGAAAAACATTAAGATTGTTGTTAACGTACAAAACTGTGTGTGCAATTTATTCAGTCTTCAGTGAATTCTAAATATTGGAATATGAGAGATTAGGTTTAATATAATCCTAATTAATTAATTAACTAAGATTATATTAAACACAATCTCTCATTTCCCAAAATTTTGAGTGTCTAAGCTTTATCTTTATTACAGCTTCTATTCTTTTCAGGACACTTCTTTTGTATTTTCTGCTTCTCACAATCCAAGAAATATTACATATAAATTTAAAATCATCAGTCTCGAAAACTCCACATCTCAGATGACCAGTTTCATGTTCTAATACAATATTTCCTTTTCTCTGTGAGGCTTCTTGAACAGCTACACATCCTTTCAGACTCATAGCGCTGAGTTGTCTTCCACAGGTGTTTCTGTCCATCCTTCCACTGTGAGATGTTTTTAGATCTGAAGCAGCTTGATTCTCTCCTCTCTCTCAAAAAGCAAAGCAACCTACAAGTAGCCATGCTCTGGGATTTTATCCACTTTTTGAAGACAGATCATCTTAGACAGTTTCATAGTGAGCTAAACACTGTAATATAGGTAACATTAGCTACTAGCAAGCTCCAAGTAACTAGCATAGCCAAATAAACAGTCTGACGGCCTAGCTTATTTACGTGGATATTCATTTTATTTTCCTGCCTGCATCTACTTTGACATGTTATGTTTTAGTGAGCCATCACAGTGCCTCACTGTAAACCAGCAAATCAGAGCAGAGTTCATCAAATTATTACTGAGGCCACCAAAAAAGGAAAAACAGCTGGTTTCAATCTAGGGTTGAAAATCGGTGTGTAAAATCTAGGCATTTCTCGTCCCGACCAAAGGCACATACCTCCTATGTAGACATCAGATAACAATTTAAACTACCAAATAAATGCATTCTGTTGCCCCTTTAAACGAGTACATGTAAGCACATGCATTTGCTTTGGTTTGTGCTTTATGGCTGTAGACTTGACTAAGCGCTGCTCAGTAAACGAAATTGCAGGTGTTGTGAGAGAAGAAAGGCTCTTTAGCTAACTGTGTTACCACAGGGCGGTGTATTACTGTAATATTACTGCTGCCACCATCAGGCGAAAGGAAAAACTGTAGCGTATTGGCCAGTGGGCCATTTATAACACACTATAAAACAGAAGCCAGAAGCCAATTAAAATCTGCCCACGGCCTGCATTTGGTCCCGGGGCAGAAGAAAACCTCAGACACCAAATATGTTTCTAGTTAATTAATTGTGCTTTAGGTTAAAGCTTTACAACTAAATTCAGTTTTTAGGTGAACCTTCACCTTAAGTGAACTTCTCCTTTAAAACAATCCCAGCAAGACAACTGGACCCAAAAAAAACCCCCCAAAAAACGGAAAAAACATAAATAAATACAGTGAGTCATCCTAGTATTATGTTAACTTAATTACTGGCTCTTCTAATGACACAAACTATTTAAAAGATGGTGATGTAAGCCTAATGACAAGTCACTCACAGTGATGAAGTTAATTTGATCGTTGAGTGTCTGAACCGGTGGCTGGGATAAGCAGTGCGCGAGCGATGGCAGAGAAACGTGTAGTTTTAGGGATGACGGATGGCTGGAAGGTTTAGTGGTTTCAACCGCAAACCAAAGAGAAGGACTGTAATATAAACATCACACATCATTACGACATCAGGAAAAGCAAAAGTGCTCACCTAGAGGCAAGGGGGGGGGTGAGAGACAGTGAAAGACAGTAAAAGAGGAAGAGAGCGCGAGAGCGAGAGAGAGAGAATATGACCTGGCTGTAGCACTCTGGGCTGTGTTAAGACAGGTCCCGGATTGTTTCTGAGGATCTGGATCAGGGAGCGGTTTGTTATCACCGCGTCGACGTCACAGGGCGCAGCTTCACTGCACACACTCACTATTAATACACCTTACATACTCAACACATACTCTCTCTCTCTCTCTCTCTCTCTCTCTCTCTCAGTCTCTCTCAATGTCTCACTCTCTCACTGTCTCCCCCTCTATCTCTCTCTAAATGTCTCACTTTCTCTCTCCCAGTCTCTCTCAATGTCTCACTCTCTCCCTCATCTCTCTCTCTCTCTCTCAATGTCTCACTCTCTCACTGTCTACCCCTTTATCTCTCTCTCTAAATGTCTCTTTCCCTCTCTCTCAACGTCTTACTCTCTCTTTGTATCCCCCTTTTTCTCTCTCAATGTCTCTTTCTCTCATAGTCTCTCTCAATGTCTCACTCTATCTTTGTCTCCCCCCCTCTCTCTCTTCCTCCCCATGTCTCACTTTCTTTCTCTGTCTCACTCTCTGTCTCCTTGTCTATCTCACTCTCTCTTAATGTCTCACTTTCTCTCTCTCTGCATCTCACACTATCAGTCACACTCTTTTTCTTTCTAATTTTCAGTCTTTTTCTTTCACTCTCCCTTGCCTCTTCACCTTTCTCCCTTTCGCACCTTTTCACTCGCTCATTCTTTTTCTCGTCTCGCTCACTTTTTCTTTCTGCCTGTCCCTATTGTCTGTATTTCTTCCCCTTTTTGCTCTCTCTTTCACTCTTTCCTTCGATCTTTCCTTCTCCCTTTTTCTCTCCCATTCTCTCCTTCTCTCTTATTCGTCTTTCTCACTCTCACTCTTTTTCTCATTATTCTTTCTTTCTCCCCTTTTTCTCTTTCTCACTTTTCCCTCTTCCTTAGTCTCTTTCTTGCTCTACTTCCTCCCTCATTATTTCTCTCGCTTTTATTTCACCCGTTTTCTCTCATTCACTCTCTTCTTTTCCTTCTTTTTCCTCTCATTTACCATCCTTCTCTCTTCCCTCTCTTTCTTTCTTCTTTGTTCTCTTCTCCCTTTATCTCCTTCATTCTCTCTCTAACTCTACTGAATACAGTACTGAAGTGCCAAATTATTATGTTGCTTGCTTATTATAGCCTACTGTCATCAAACTACATGGCTTGGTGCTTATTTTGATTATTATTAAAATAAATAAAAGTAATAAGCCACTGGAGGCCACCTCATGTCTAACAACTCCTCTTAACCGGAATGAAATCACTGCTTCTCGTTACATACTGTTTTATGAAACACTAGTATGTGAATGAGTCAGTACTCATAAAGGTAACTGCGCGTACTGAACCTCACATATGCAGCCAATGTTTGTTTGAGCTATATTACA